TTTTTTTGGTTTTTCTCCGGTACCGGGAACCGAACTCACAACCTTGCACTTGCCAGGCAGGCACTTTGCCGCTGAGCTAAATCCCCAGCCCCTACTACTGAGTTTCTGAAAGGCAGTGAGTGTATGTTTCAGAACTCAAGGCTGTCATCCTTATTCTGTTGATAATCAATGAATATCCTTGGGCAAATCACTAACCTCCTTTCAATTCTGGTTTTCCCAATTGTGAAATACGGTAGTTTGATTACATGACCTCTAAAGTTCCTTCCAGTTCTAATGTTTTTTCTTATCAAAAAGAAAATACTATATTATTTGGAAATTCTGTGACAAATGACAACATAAATCATTAAGACTGGAGGAAATTTTCTCCAGTTATGAAAATATCCTACATTGTGTAGAGCAGATCATTTATTGCTTTGAAAAGGTTTAAAGAGCTGGAAGGAATAAGAAAATACAAAACAACATTATTTTAAATCTAGTGGTAATGCAAGTCTTCTAACAGCTATGATGGCGTGGTTTCTGCTTTGAAAGGATTAGTAATTCTCTGGATTCCTGGTAAAAATCAGAAATAAAGGGGAAACAGGACTTCAACAAGAGGAGGACAGCACTGGGACAAAGGAGAGGAAACCACAGCTGGTCGTATAGAAAGCAGCGTAAAGAAGCCAAAACTGATTTGGAGCAGGGAGCCAGAGAGCAGGTCAGTGGACGGAGTGACGGCTGCTATGGAGGGCACAAAACAATACTGCAACCTGGGTCTTACAGGGACCAGTGGGAGATAACGAAGAGATTTCTGTTTGTTTTTACGTGGAAAAGAAATGATATAAAATGAAATTTTCTAATGCAAATGGTCGCAGGGCTACAAGTATTATGGAGGAAGAGTTGGTGCATGACTAGAATATATGATTAATGGATCTGTACATCAGATGAGAAAAATCAGACAGACTGAAGGACAAAGACAGCTGTTCTGGGAGACAAGATGACTTTAAGCACTCTTCCCAAATTTCCCTTCCTATTCTAATCTGAGGATGTCTTTCCTTTAAACCATGAGAAGAGGGAAGCTGAGCATACAGTCTCTTTAATCATCTAAATGTCCATTCTCCTATTCCTTCTTTTACATGACGTTAGTAATTACCTTGCTGACTTTCACTGTAATATAGCAGTCCAAAAAACTTTCTGCAGTAAGAATGTTCTACATTACACTGTCCTATATAGAAGCCACTAGCACATGTGACTATTGAGCAGTTAAAATGCTACCAATAGAACAAAGGAAATAAATTTTAAATTTTATTTTCTTTTAATTAATTTATATAGCCACATGTGGCTAGTAGGTGCTTTTATTCTGACTTTTTTGCATCTTATCATACCTTCCTTGACCTACAATCAACTTTTCCCTTCCTCTTTAACCTACATATAAATTCAAATCTGCCATTTTAAACAAACAAAAACCTCCAAACCATAATTGTTTCTTTAGCCCTATTTGCTCCCTAGTTACAGGCTACTGAATTCATTTCAAATCAAGTTTTTATCCAAAAAGCACTGTATAAGGACCTATAATCCCTTATCCAAGCCCTCAGGGTTAAACATGTTTCACAGTTTCTCAGATTTTAGAAAAACATTATAGTATATATCCTATACTATTTAATATCTATCCATTCAGAGGCTTGGGGTAGGAACAAGTAGTAAGCAAACACATTAATGGTTCTAAAACAAAAGTATAGGAAAAAAACCATTTTAGGAAAAGTAAATAAAGGCTGTATTTATTTAACATATGCTAATTTAGGTCAGAGTTTGCTACCAAATGAGTTCAGGTCAGATTTTATTTTTCTAGCAGTGCTGGGGTCAAACCCAGAGCTTCACACATGCTAGACAGGCACACTACTACTAAGCCGTTATCTTCAGCTTTCAGCTTCAAAATAAAACAACAGAAGCCGGGCATGGTGGCGCACTCCTGTAATCCCAGCACTGGGGAGGCAGAGACAGGAGATCACTGTGAGTTCGAGGCCAGCCTCGGCTACACAGTTAGTTCAGGGACTGTCTGAACTATACAGTGAGACCCTCTCTCAAAAAACCAAAAAACCCCAAAAGAACAGAAGGGCCTGGGATATAGCTCAGCAGCACAAGCCCCTGCCTGGCAAGCGCAAAGTCCTGAGTTCGATTCCCAGTACCAAAAAAAAAAAAAAAGGACAGAAAATAGCTTTGTGGATTTCTGGATTTTAGACAAAGGAACTGTAGGCCTGTACTTCCTGTTTCTAATTTTCTACCTTTCACTGCAGACTAGACTGAAAGAAAAAAGGAAACTAACACTTGTTGAGAATCTGTTGTTTGCCAGCACTGCCTCAGTATTTCATCTAATTTCAACAGTTCTTTAACAGAGAGATGCTGTTACCTATATTTAAGAGACCAAGAAATTGAAGGGAGTATAAATTAGTTACTTGCCACGACTATAATTATAAGGTCACACAACTAGCAAATATCAATCATTCAAGCCCAGGCCTTAATCCAAAGTTGATGTAGTTTCACTGACATGTGAGGTATTCAAAGTTAAGTATTTACGCCAACTTCACAATGCATTTTCACATGGATTTTCTCATCTGACAAAAGGAAGGGAAGGCATGAAATTATTCTTCATACATTACAGACAAGAAAGCTGAAAGTCTTTTGAGACCAGCCTATCAAATGCAACCTTAGCCTTCTTGAAGCCTCTACTTCTGGAAACACAATTTATCACTTCTTTACTATTCCACTAAACTTGTGTATTTTTTAATCACTGGCACCTATCAGTAATTTATCCTTGTATTTCTGTATCTTCTAAGAGACAGTTTCTCAAAGACAAGAATGAAGATTTATTCATCTTTACTTCTTCCATATCTATCTGACACCTATGGTCCTCAAGGAATGTTGAATGAATAAAGAAAAAAGGAAAGAAACAAACATGCTGAGTTAGGCTGACAGACGAGTGTGGGTTGATGGCCGATGGTGGAACATACACGTGACATCCAGCAGAAAAGTTCATCAAATAAAGTTTATACATACGTTGGACCATAAAATGTTGAAATTCATTTCAAGAGAAGTTTCTACCTTGGGCAATATGATCAGAAATACCAGTAGGAGTGGATTCATTCATAGAAGCACTGAATGGAATTGGCTCATAATGAGGAAGCATCTCCTTTTCTATGTTGTCTGCTGCAGGGGAGGTCACAAAAGAGGACTGACCACTCACATTTGAGTCATATTTTGACTTCTGAGAATAGTGCCTGTAAAAGAACATCACATTGTATAAGAAAAAAAAGTCACTGCCTATACCTTAAAGATGTGTTAAGATACAAAAACAAGTTATTGAGCTTCTAAAATAATCATAAGTGGCCAGGCGTGGTGGCGCATACCTCCAGCACTCGGGAGGCTGAGGCAGGAGGATCATTGCGAGTTTGAGGCCAGCCTAGGCTACAAAGTGAGCTTAAGGCCAGCCTGAACTGCACAGCAAGACCCTGTCTCAAAAAGATAAAAAAATAAAATAATCATAAGTTTAACATAGGTATTTAACAGCAAAAAAGAAGTGTTTTTATCATAAAAAGCATCCTGACTCAACTCATTCAACTTACAAACAATCAATACAGGGAAAAAGAAAACATTCAATTTTCTAAATAGTGGGCTCTGAAGACAATTTTAGTGTTTTTAAAATTCTTGGAAAGGAAAAGTACTTCAGATTAGTTCTAATTTCCCACATAAATTAGAAAGTTACTCTCACAGCTAGGAGTCAATATAAACACTAATTTGTTAAGCAGATATAAAAAATATTATTACTCATGAGGCCTTATATTGACTGACATTTATAACTCATCTACCATTATTTATTTATCTACCTCTCCAGGCAGATTCATATATCCATGCTATGTAATTTAAAAACTAAACCACAGTCTGAAAAGAACCAGTAACAGATTAAACAATGCTTTACTGGACTTACTAGTTTGAAATTTTTAAAATTTGAAAGTTTTAAAAAGTGCTTTTAAAATTTTGAATACAACAGAACTATGTTACAGAAAATATGGAATAAGAGGGGAAAACCCATACATCACAACCATTACTACCAATATTTTTGGAAGCATATACTTTTCTTTAAAGGAAAAGGTAACCCTAACTCTAACCCTATGTATATATATAATTTCATATTTTACCCTTTCAGCTTATCAAAAACATTTCATCATGATGCTTCAAGACTTCATGATTTTAAGTAGTTTCATAATGCCCATCAATTTATTAGTTAAAATAGTCATCCTCCATTATTGGAAGTTAAGTTGATTCCAGATTTCTCTATGTAAAGTTATGCACAAATTTGTGCGTATAGTTGTTTTTTTATTTTGGACTTAAGAGTTTAGTACAAAGAACTCAAAAGATTCCAAATTTTATGAATCCCAAAATACGCTGACGAAAAATACTATCCAAAATATTTGTACTAATGTATACCAGAAATTATAGTACTAGCTCACTTCTAAAATTACATAATCAGGGCATGGTGGTGCTACTCAGGAGGCTGATGATTTAGAGGCTAGCCTGGGCAACTTACAGATGCCCTATCTCAAAAAATAAAAGGTCTATAGGGATATAACTCAGTGCCCAGGCCCTGGGTCTAATCCTAGCACAAGGGTGAGAAGACAGAGTTAAACTATGGTTTGTAGTATGAAGACAGATTAGCAAAGCAAACATTAATGTACTATATGTCAGAGAAAACAGCTATCTCCTATTCATTTGCCTATTTTAAAAACTAAAGAGAGGGGCTAGGGATATAGCTCAGCGGCACAAGGGCCTGCCTGGCAAGCTCTAGGTCCTGAGTTCGATCCCCAGTACCAAAAAAAAAAAAACCCAAACAAACAAAAACTAAACAGAATAAAAAGAAAAGTTGAAATCCGTTAAAAGATGGGATTTATAAAATTGGAGATTCAAAAATAAGTTCAAAATACAGTGAACCAAAAGTGTTTGCCAAGTCTTGCTCTACTTTTTAAAGCAAATTACTTACAGGAAATAGCAAGTTTCCAAAGCCTGGGCACTGAATTATACCGAGTTGTTTATTTTCTTAAAATTAAAAAATTTAAGATCAGAATCTGACCTACCCAGGTGGTGAAGATCGCCGTGCTTGTCCTGATCGCAAAGCTTCTCCAAGAGGAGAATTTTCAAGATTCTTGAACTTTTCTTGGCAAGTTCTCACATAAGAAAGTTTTCCAGCAAAGTATCCCATGATACAAGCAACTTATTTATAAAATCAAACAAAAAATATGATTGAATAGGACTTTTTAGGCAATAATCTTGTCTAAAACAACATTTTAAAGAACATGTTATCTTAAATATATCTTTGGTTAGAGAGACCTGAGATTTTCTAAAATAATGATAAAAGGACCTCAATGAAATCAAACTCAGAGTTCAGACAAGGATTCTATGGACATAATTCTGTTTCCCTAAATAAATCAAAATTTAAAAAAAAATGTAGTTGTAAAGTAGTTGTAATTCTAATACACTAATTACTAATACAAATATGAAAGACATGGTAAAGGTATGATGGAAAGAGGAGTGGATAAGGAATCACATCAAAAGTTCTAGCCTGGTGAGCAGGGATTCAAACCATTTTTCTTGTAAAATGGGAATAATACTATTTGCCCAGTCAACCATAAGATTACTTTAAAAATGAAATTAGGTACACCAAATCCCTCATAATAATGGATCACAAAGTGTAACTTAAATGTTCACCTGTGCAACCTATTTGTAATATAAGAGAAAGTAACCTGAAATTCGTGAAAAGCCTCAGGAGAGTAATTTTTGTTAGCCACATTGCTAAATTTAAATTGAAGACTTCAGGGGCTGGGGATTTAGCTCAGTGGCAAAGCGCCTGCCTGGCAAGCGCAAGGTAGTGAGTTCGGTTCCCGGTACCGGAGAAAAACCCAAAAAATAAAAAAATAAAAAAAAATAAATTGAAGACTTCAAAAAAATTGTTTACTTCTAAATATATTTATTTGGATTAATCAAACTATCTGTACCACCTTCTTTCCTTACAGATAGACAAGAATTTATTTTCATTTATTATTTGATTAATTTGGATTAATCAAAATATCTGTACCACCTTCTTTCCTTATAGACAAGAATTTATTTTTAAAGTACTACGTATTTAAAAAATAATTTCAAATGGTTTTATTATTAAGAAGGAAAAAAAGTCAAGTAACTCCTGATTTTGACACTAGAAAAAAATATCCAATGAAAATATCCAATGAAAAGCTTACAAAGATATGTCAGCACACAACCAACCACATAACTAATATGAGTATGTCAATACATTTGATAAAAAATAATGATTTTATACTTAGGTAAAAAAGCTGAAACAAAATACAGTGTTATTCATACTTACATATAAGTTTAGGGATGGAACCAAATCTGGGATGACTTGAAAGAATTCCTACAGAATAAAAAGTTAAGTATTTCTCACTAATATTGTTAGAAAAAATCAGTTCCGACTACCTTTACCTGTTAGCTGGCAACATTAGTTCTTTTCATGACCCCAGAGAACTCTAAGCTATTTAAAAAGAGAGAATCAAGTGAATTTAGTATCAACAGATACACACACAAAAAAAATCCAAATGACAGACACACAAATAGTGGATCATTTGATACAAAGTAAACAATAACCACAACAAAAAAGAACTGTTTCTACATACCAAGAACAAATGAAACACAACACAGATTAAAAGATACAATTTACTGTAACATCAAAACCACCCAAGAGCCAGGAACAAATGTAATTAAAGATATGAAAGATCTTTATATTAAAAGCCATAAAACTTGCTGAGGAGTAAAAGCCAAACAAGGAGAAACATACTATGCGCCCAAGAACTGAATAGTGTAAAGATGTCAATTCTCCATAAATTAACCTATAAACTCAATGCTTCAATTAAAATCAAAGCAAGGGTTTTGTTTATACTAAAAATCATGTGCAAACACAAAGGACCAAGGTAGTACTGAATGAAACTTAAGTAGATATCAAGACCTAGAATAGCCGGGCGTGGTGTTGGGTGTTGCACGCCTGTAATCCCAGCACTCGGGAGGCTGAGGCAGAAGGATCACTGCGAGTTCAAGGCCAGCCTGGGCTACAAAGTGAGTTCAAGACCAGCCTGAACTGCACAGTGAGACCCTGTCTCAAAAAGACAAAAAAAAAAAAGACCTAGGATAAAATGATAGTAATTAAGACGTCTGGCATAAGTCAAGAATATGTAAACTGACTCACACTAGGAAAGTCCAAGAAAGGACATACACATATGTTCTCACTTGATATATGCAGTAAACAAAAAACAGTCCTTTCAAAATATAGGGCAGAGTCAATTACATATCTGTAAGAGGAGAAAATGTACCTGATCTACCCCATATTATATTAAAAAATAACTCCAGAGGGCTTCAAAATTTAAATATGAAAGATAAAGCTGATAAGCGAAAGCATGAGACTGTCATCTTTCTGTCCTTAAAGATAAAGATCTTAAAGAGATCACAAAAAGGAAAAAAAATCTGATAAATTGGACTCTATTAAACATTATAATTAATCAGAATGGAAAAAAAATAATCCAAGACAGAGAACTAAAAATGATCCAGTGAAAAGATGGACAACCTCAACAGATCCTTTATAGCAGGGCAAGGTGGCGCACGCCTGTAACCCTAGCACTTGGGAGGCTGAGGCAGGAGGATCACTGCAAGTTCAAGACCAGCCTGGGCTACAAAGTGAACTCAAGGCCAGCTTGAACTGCATAGTGAGGCCGTTTCAAAAAGACAAAAAACCCCCAAAACCCCAAAACCCCAACAAAAAAAACAGATCCTTTACAAAAAAGGATATTCAAATAACAAATAAAACAAAAGGTCCTCAACTTCATTAGTCACAGGAAGATGCAAATCATAACCACTATGCGATCAGTATCACTGCTCATTTACCACTATGGCCAAAATAAAAGAGACTTAAAAATGTGAGAGTGAAAATTACTCCAAATAGTGCAGCAGTATTTACACTGAAGCTAAATATATTCATAGTCTATGATCCAGAAAAATGCCTAACAAGAAATACTTTATTTATGGAAGTACTAATTGCAGAAATCAAATTTGTAAACTACCTACTTTCCAATGTTTAGTACGATAAATGAACTGGGACATATTCAAACAGCAAAAAACTACACAGCAATGAGAATATATAATCTACAACTACATATAATACTGTAGATCAGTCCGGTGCTGTGCTAGTAGACCAGCTCTCCAAATAAAACTTCATGTACACAGCATACATACACTAATGAAAAAATAAAATGGCAAATTCTTATGTTTAAAAAAAGCCTAGATTTTAATAGATGTTAATTTCTATAATATAAAGCTATCAGAGGGCTGTTGGCTGTCATGCTCCTGAAAAATTTAATAATCAGTTCTTAGAAGCTGGTTCAGGACAATTCTAGCACAGCACTGAGGAGTCTTAAAAATGTTGAAAGAAGCAACATAAATTACTTCACAGAAGGCTTCTGTGTAATTCAATTACAAAAACAGAAGTAATCTATACTACTAGCTTGTTTCTTTTTTCTGTCATCAACTAGTTATAGACCTCTAACAACATATAAGCACTACATACTAGTCAACCAGCCCCTCCTGTGCACTTCTAGGGATTGGACCCAAGGCACTGGCACTGAACTCCATCCACAGCACCCTATTCCGTTTTTTTGAGATGGGCTCTAGCTAAGTTTCCAAGCTGCTCAGGATGGCCTCGTAACCTCAGCCTCTCAGAGTACTGGGATCAAAGACACTCTTCTTACACTTAGTGAGTTGACAGTCTAGAGGGAATTAAACAGAACATATCATGTAACTGCTATTCACCCAAATATTTGAGTACCTACTCCATATGTGCATTGGATATACCCTCTGACAGGTACTAGAGATAGCCCATTTTCCTAAGAGGAAGAATGGAAGTAAACTTACTGAAGACTAATGCAATACTCTATATAACATAGTTACATTAATTATAGTGACAGTGCAGACAGAGATAGTGTATAGAAAAATTTAAGGATTTGAATACAAGACACCAATGGATAAGGCAGATAAAGAATAGAAGTAAAAGATAAGGCTCTGATTTCCTGAATGAGAGTGATGCCCTTCAGACATGGCAAAAAGGGCAGGAATTGGTTTTAGCAAAATGAGTTCAACTTACAGAGCCAATAAAGGGCCATCCGTGTAAGATGTCCAGAATTTAATATAGCACATATCTAGACTACAGATAATCCTAGAGACTGTTATGGTTTGATCTGAATGTCCCCCAAAATGATTATTCATGGATGAGGCTTGTGGAAGGTGATTAGTTCATGGGGATGCTAACCTCGTGAGTGGATTAACCTATTGAGTTCATGGCTAAATGTGCTGTTGGAAAAGTACAGCTGGGCTGGAAGAAGTCCCTCGGGGTGCCTATGAGGGTGTTTATCTCCTCTGGTGCTTTCACAGTCTTGTGTGATCTGGGTGCAGCTTTTTCATGAGGTGAGCAGCTTTTTCACACCTCACCCTTCTACCATGGTGTTTCTGCCTTGCAGCCAGCAGATCATAGACTGAAACCTTTGAAATCTTGACCCAAAATAAACTCTTCCTTCAAATGATGGATGTCAAGTATTTTGTGCCAACAATGGAAAAGTGACTAATACAGCTCCTGTGATAACTACAGCCCATCATACTGTAGGGGAAAGTAGAAAAACTTAGACTGAGAGCATAGCTTTATGGTATAGGCCCTAGGTTCAATCTCCAGTACCATACCCTCCCCACACAAAAAAGTACAGACTGAAAACTAAAATCCAAAGCAGAACTCCAAAGAACATCAATATTTCTAATACAAGCAGAGAAAGAAGACAAATAAATGAATATCCAAGCACTAAGAGGTCATGAATTTGTTTTTAGTGCTATACACCATGAACAGTGTGTCACACATATAACATACTTTAAAAACATGAAAAGAATGTAACAGTTGCCTGCAGTAGGAGGGAAATTCTAGGACTATGCAGTTACAGATGTGAAATGCAAATGACTCAAGAATTGGTTTGGGATGGGGAACCAAAAGGAAAAAAAACTGATTAAAAGCTAGGCATGGTGGTACACCCTTGCAATCCCACTACTCAGAAGGATCACATGTTCAAGGCCAGCCTGGGCAAATTAGCAAGACACTGTCTCACGCATGCCCGTAATCTCAGCAGTCATGATGCTGAGGCAGGAGGATCATGAGTTCAAGGCCAGCCTGGGCTGTAAAGTGAATTCAAGGCCAGCTTGAACTGTATAGTTAGACCCTGTCTGAAAAAGACAAAAAACAAACAAACAAACAGTCTCAAAACAAAAATAAAAGGGCTAGAAATGTAGCTCAGCACTTCTCAGCTCAATCCCCAGGAAGAAACAGAGGGAAGGAGGAAGGGGAAAAAAAGAAATGATTAAGGTTGTATAATGTTGGTCAAGAACAAAAATTGGGCCGGGAATATAGCTCAGTGGCACAAGCACCTCCTGGTAAGCGCAAGGTCCTGAGTTCGATTCCCAGTACCAGAAAAAACAACAACAACAACAAAAAAAAATTAAAGAAGCAAGGATGCTATGTTGGTAGTCTTTTAAGAAGTTTCAATAAAAGAAAAAATTCATGGATACTCTAGGACAGATGGGGTTAAAAGAAGTAAAACGTGAAGTATTCCTTTACGAAGTCTGGCTTCAAGTTTGAGGCAGAGGCAGCTGGAAAGATGTATAAAAAAGGACTTTTTTTTCAATGTTCTCTGTTCCTTTTTGATAGATCAAGAAACAATCCGTAACAGCTAAGACCACACTGAGCATGACTCACTGCAGATAAATACAAAATGACAGGTATTTGGATTCAATGCAATATGTCTTGGTGGATTCTGAATTGTTTTCAAGTTATTGCCAAGTGATCCAATATCTTTAACTTCACATAAATCCCAAACCTCCAAAACTTTCCCTCTTTTATGCCCTTTCCAAATTATAATTTTTGCTGGTTCAACCTTCGTTGTTTTATGTTCTTATGCCTTGCATATTTTGCTTCTGTTCATGTCAGTCTCCTCACTGCCCCCTATAGCCATGCTTATTGTCATAATCACCAAATCCCTCCTCCTGAAATATCCTTCCTTTTCTTTTTAATCTAAATCCTGCACATCCTTCAGAATCTACTTCTTTAAAACACACACACACACACACACACACACACGATTACATTTATAGTGGGGAATTGGTACATGTATATAACACATTTGATTTTTTTTTTCCACCCTTAATTATACCACTCCTACAGAGATTTTTCCTCTTTGAAAGATCTTTATCCACAACTCTGAATATTTTTACAACTCAGCAGCTTGTTATTTAAATTTTCTATTCTCTTCAGTGTGTGTTTGCATTGACTAGCAGCTCCTAAATTTCTTTTGTAATCCCCAATATCCAGACCTAAATATTAGTAAATGACAAAATTATGAGAAATAGGCACAACAATAATGGACACTGTGATTTCTCTACTGTGCCAGTTTTTCCTACAAAGTAACGTGATTTAAAGTTTTGTTCACAATATGGGACCAATCTGGTCTATAAAACATCTCAGTTTTAAAGGACATGTAATACATGTATATCTTGAGTTCTTTCCATGTTTTTAGATTCTCTTTTCTGGGACATCTTCTCAGATACAGGATACACTAGGCAGACAGTACACTTAAGTATCACCTTAAATATCAGTACACTTAAGTTTGCCTGTATCACCAAATTTTAGAATATAGAAACTGGTAATACTCAATTCACAGGAATACGCTATACTATTTAAGCCAATAAAATTTAGGACAAGAAAAATCTCTTTGGAGACTTAATAAAAAACAGATTACTTGCTGGCGCTCTGAGATTCTAATTATTTTTTTAAATGCTAACTCATTCTCACCCTCAACTCCCAGGTGATATTGGTTTAGAAAGGTACGGGTCTTTACACTGAGGTATAGGGCCTTCACGCAAATTATGTCTCCAGTCCCCTTTTTAAAAATTAATACATGTTCATGATACATGAAGAATATATTCACCTTAGTTGGTATTGCACTTTAACCCTTTTTACTTGCCCTTCTCCTCCTCTCCTTCCATCTCAACATCCCCTTCCCCTTTATTTGCAAAAGATCTACCTCCTTGTTTCCTTTTATCTTTAGCCTTAAATTATACTTCGGGTTTCTCATATAAATGAGAAACCATACACTCCCTAAGCCTCTGTATTTCCCTAAGCTTCAGGGTCTCAAGGTGTATCTATTTTCCTATAAATGACTCAAATTTATCCTTTAGGGCTGAGTAGTACTCCACTGTGTGTATATACCACAGTTTATTGATCCATTCGTCTGCTGATGGATATATAGGTTGCCTCCAAGATTTAGCTATTATGACTTGTGGTCCTATAAACATGGACATGCATGCATCACTATAATATGATGTTTTTAACTCTTTAAGGAAGAAACCTGGAAAATAGCTGAGAAACTGGAATTTCTAATTTTAGTTTGTGGAGGAATCTCTATACCGATTTCCACAGTGGTTGTACTAGTTTACACTTCAACAATGCAGAAAGGTTTCTTTTCCCATATAGCCTTTCCAGCATTTGTTATTTTTTGAGTTCTTGAGCATTTTACTATTTTTATTTTAAGGTAAGGTTTCACACTAAGTTGTCCAGGCAGGAGATGCATTTGTGATCCTCCTGCCCCAGCTTCCCAGAGTGCTGGAATTACGGGTATGTACCACTATAACTGGCAGCTACTGGACTTTAAGCCAATGTCCAACAATCACCTGGGTTTGTTAAAACACAGATTCCAGAACTTTACTCAGAGATTCTGACTGAGCAGATCTGGAATGGGGCCCATGAATTTGCATCTGTAACAAACAGGAGTGCAGCTGCTGAGCCACCCATGTACACCAGGCTTGTTGCTCTTCCTGCAAACTATCTACAAGTTTAGGCTTGCCATTTTCTTGCTTTTGCAGATTGCTAATGATGTTCTGTGCAGGACAGCATCAAATTCTCAAATCCAGAGAATCAACCCAATGATTCCTTTTCTAATATTGGAGAAATTTACCAGTGATCACTAAGATTATCAACTTTCCTTATTTAATATCACAAAAATAAACATATCCAAAAGACTAAATAAATTCAAAGTTTAAATATTTACCTTTACTAATTAGTCCTTGAGTAATCAACATACTTGTGGCAGCCAAAGGCACAGCTATGGAAGGAAGAAGAACTTGTCAATATTAACAAAAGGAAAAGATTTTATCTTGAGTTCATTAGGGAATTAATATTAAAACTATCTAGGAATAAATTTTACAACTAAGATATTTAAAAGACTGTTTCATTTTAAAAGCTGTACTGTATACACAAAAGGTTAAAAAAGAACATTTTATTTTATTTTATTTACTTATTTATTTAATTTTTTGGTACAAGGAATTGAACTCAGGACATGCTTGCCAGGAAGGCACTGTGTCACTGAGCTATATCCCTGGCCCAAAAAGAGCATTTTAAGTTAAAAACATTACAAAATATTAAACAGCATAATTCTAGAACCACCTAGACTTATGTTCCAAAAGAGGTAGCAATACATTAATAATCAACTAAGACAACACTGACTAAAAGCTACTTCTGAAGTTAAAGGAGGAAAAAAAAATAATACAGGAGAGGCTAGAGGAAAATTACAAATAAGCTAACTACTGAGTAATGACTAAATTCCATGCAGTGTGCTAAGTGCCGCATGTGCACTGTCTCATTACTTTTTATCACAGTATTTACAAGGTAGATAATATTCTTACCCTTCTACAGATAAGGAGACTGAGGCTTAGAGATGTTAAGAAACTTGCTCAAGGCCATACAGCTAGTTCAAAGGCAGGCCTCAGACTAATGAAATCTAATACCAGATTTCAAGCTTTTAAGCTTTTTTACACTGAACCAAAATACACTTGCTTGGGGCAAGAATAAAAAAGTATATACATTAAACATTCCTTAAAACTACATGAAAATACTGTGTGTACACCTATTAACCCAGAGTAAAAAAATCCAAAGCTGTCATCACAACTTCAAAGAGACTTACAACTTAAAAACAGCTATGAATCACTCTTCTCTACACAAGCATTAACAATTTTCTGCAAGGGTGGGAGCTGCTAATGCATTAGGTGACCAATGTGGCAAGCAACTTGGTCTGAGCACCTGACTAGTAAACAGTTCCCTACACTGACAGAAGTGGCTCACTATGCCTAACCTGTTTATGCGAACACAACTCACACTGAACGCCTGCTTTTATCTGGAAGTCTGGTATCTAGGTACTCACTAGGCTGAGAGTGCCTAACCCCCAATAAAAATACCACTGAGTTTTTAATGAGGTTCCACAAGATAACATTTATGAGAACTGTTACTGGGTGGCAAATTAAGTACATTCTTCATGCAGGGCTCCATTGAGGGAAGACCCTGAGAAGCTTGTGCCTGGTTTCCTCTGGATTTCACCCCATGCTCCTCTTCCTGATTTTGCTTTGTATCCTTTCACTGTAAATTAAATAGCTACATGTGGTCAGCGGCTACCATAGGAAACAATGCTGTTCCTAACCAGGGGTTGGCAACTTGCTCTATAAAGAACCAGATGATAAATATCGGGGCTTTGGGGTCCATTTGTTGTTCTACCTAGTCAACTCCTGCTTTATGCAAAAGCACCTACAGACAATACATACACAAATGAACATAGCTGTGTTCCAATAAAACTTTATTTATGGATGCAAAACTGTTATGTAATTTGTACATGCAATGAAATAGTCCCCCTCCTTTTTCCTCAATCACTTGAAAATGTAAAAACCATTTTGTTAGTTTGCTGCATACAAAAAGATTTGATCCAAGGTCTGTAGTTTGCTCAACTCTGAATCTTTTTTTTTTTTTCCGGTACCAGGAATCGAACTCACAACCTTGCGCTTGCCAGGCAGGCACTGTGCCACTGAGCTAAATCCCCAGCCCTAGTTTGCTCAACTCTGGTTTAAATTATACATGGGCAATTTAAGCACTGAAATAATTGGGACATTTGAATTGTCAGAGAAACTTTATGAAAAAATCCATTAACTTTGGAATAGGGCTCCACTATTAGGCACAATGTGCAGAAACCCTAAGGTTTGACTGCTTACTATTCTACTTATCAACAGATTTTACCTTGGTTGGGAAAATGGTTTCTTTAATGCTGGCTGGTTAGATGCCTTCATGTATTATGATTTAAGGTCTTTCAAAGCACAAATCCCCTTACATTACAGTGTAAGTTCAGGCTGCTTCAAGGATTGCAACACGTAGCACTGAAGAATTACATGAGGATAAAAGGTGATGATTTAGTTAGCCATCTCTACAATGGACAATGCTTCTACAGTTAATGCAAAGAGCAACAATCAGGTTAAGGAGATTCTAGTACTAGTTCTTTCATTCACCCCTGTTTGCATACACCTCTTAACTTCTCATGTTATAAAAGGATAGTAATTTAGGCCTAACTCATACATTTTACCTTATGTCACACTGAAAGATAATGGTAAAAATGAAAGACTTCACAGGTTCTCTAGCCCTCTTAATCAGAATAAACTGGGCATACAAGGTCGTATGCTCAAAGCAACACAAACGGTTAGTTTGTAGTACAGCTTGATCAGAGCCCAAATCTTACATCCATGTAAGGAAATCCATTATATTATGTGATTCCTATTTTAGTCTGTTAATATAATGTTCCCTTAGGCAAATTTAAAATAACTGCTGACCAAAACCTATTCTACATTATGACTACAGTCCCAACTCTATTCAGTACAAGGATCCCTACAAGTCCTTGCACGCTCCTCCTCTCCCAATAAAATGCTACTCTAAATTCACAATTTTTAATAGGAATGTTTATTTCATTAATCACAATAGCCACTTAGTAAAGATAGCCAACTTTTATACAATTAAATTGAATTAACTGAATTAATCCCCATAACGATTTCATGTGATAGGTAGTTACTACCCCTGTTTTACAGATAAGGAAACAAGAACATGGATAGGAACTTGTCCAAAATCTCACAGCTAGAATCTGGGATTTGAATTTAGATAGTCAGGTGGAGTCAAGTCCATGGTCTCCTTGATCATACTTTTTACATGAAACTCAGTGGTACATATGTATGAACTATTTTCATATACTCGAAAACTGATGCGAAAACTTAATCAGAATTAATATGACTTTTCATTAATTCCAGAGGCTGAGAGCTACTGTAATATGCAATTAAGAACTAATATAATATGGAACTAAGTTCATCTTTTATGTACTGATTTTTTCACTACTTGCGTGTGTTTGAGCACAAACACATTGGTTTTTGGACAGTATGTAGAGCCACAATTTTAAACAACTGGAGATAAGATACCTTCATAGTTATACTTTATGATTAACAGGAAGTAGATTAGAGAAAAAAAAACATTATCTTAAAGAAAAAAGTCTAAATCAACAAGTCTAATTTTAAACCAAGATGATACATTTAATATCTCAAAAAGATATAAAAATTATCATCAGTACTTTTCCACATATTCCTGCTTCCCTCACCATCCTTATCTCATTAACAGCCCCAAGGTGATATTCTCCATAGCAATATGAATTCCATTATTAATTTACATAATATGGAATTGTCACATACTACATGGAATACCTTATCTGAAGATACAAATGTTAAAGTACAAAATTTGCTAACATGTTGTCTATCAAATTCTCCTGATCATTATATGTTGACTTTCTTACCATCTGGTTACAGCTACAATTTCATATGCATTGAAGGTCTGATGTTATAATATACAACAGCTATGTTATTTCTGCTTTAAGTCAATTAGTGGCCAGGCATGGTGTTGCATGCCTATAATCCCAGCACTCTGAGGCTGAGGCAGGAGGATCACAAGTTCAAGCTCAGCCTGGGCAACATAACAATGTAAGAGACCCTGTCTCAAAAAAAAAAAGGGTTGGAGATGTAGCTCAGTGCAAAAGCCTGGGTTCAACCCCCGGTACCACCAAAAGAAAAAAAAAGGTCAGTTGCTTCTGTAACTGCTGCTAGTTGTTAATTTTTTGACTGCTATAATTTCCCAGTAAACCAGATATAAGATACAATTAACAAGCTGTTTTTTCAGCCTATCCTTACTACATGCTTTTCGTCTCTTCAATTTTAAAAGGATTAATCTGTTTTAATATACAAAAATTATATTTCTTACTGTTCACATACCACATGTCCTACTATTAACAGTCAGATATACATAGAAATCCTGCCTATGGATCAATGCCCTTTAATGTACTTTTAACATAAGGTTACAACTGTTTAGAATGTTAAACATAAAACAGCATAAATTTATCAGCCTAAAATAAACCTGGGTAGCACAGTATTCATATCACCATCAGCCTAACATTACGATCCCAAACCATCACCAGACTTGTCTTTTTCTTAATCCTGTCATCAAGATGTGAAATTTGTTCCACCATGAATGCAAAATATTAAATCTGTTTCTTCCTACAAACAAAAAATTCTAACTGTATCTTTTAATCAGCACTGTCATAAACTGGACTATCTTGAAGTTATTACCTGACTCTTTTCCTTCATTGCTCATTAGTCAATCTCTCTGAAATCCTACATGTGCTTTCAAAAATCTTTCAGTACCAGCCCATTTTCTCCAGTCCAAATGGCAAAGTAGTCAACTACTTCTCAACAACTATGTCTGAGTCATCACCAAAAGCTCATAAAAGACCTCACCAAGTATAACTTCTCATCCTTCTAACCCACAATGCACGCTAATCTTCCTCTGAAAACAAACTGACATTATTCCCACTGCCCAAGAACCTAAAACATCTAAGCCAAATTTTTAGCTTTTCATACTGCTTTATTCTCTTAAGGCTCTAATAGTGATCAAGTTATTGTAGATTCTGCCTTTGTTCAATTACAGTTATCTCTTACAATTCTTACTGCAGCTATCAACATAATCTTTCCTGTGTGTTTTATGTGTTAGCTTTGTTTTAACTACATCAGGTCAAAGACTACCTCATGAAACTTATCTTCTAAGCAACGTATCTAGTACACTGTAAGTATACACACTGGCTGACTGATGAAAAAATATACCTTCCTTATCAATTTGCTCCCTTGCACTTTAAAATTTCACCCATCTCTTCTGTTCCAATTACCACATCGCAACTGTGAAGGCCTATAATTTTCAGGTGAAGCAATATTAGGTTTTGTGTAAAAGACTGTATTTTATGTATTGCTTTCAACATGGTTTTTAAAAAAATCTTCATATATAAGATTTCTAGACAGAAATCAAGAGTTGGTAGTATAGTAACATTTCACAATAATAAAAATGAGAACTAACCAGTTTTTATTATGTAGTGGTTAAAAGAATTAAAATCAGGAGTTTCTGTTTCAAATATACCTGGTTTCATGTTCAGATATTGTGACTTACTAGCTATATAATACTAGTTAGCTCATTTGACATCTCTAAACCTTAATGCCTTCATCTGTAAAGTAAGGGCAGTAGTGACCATACTCATGGGGTTGTTTTTATAAAATCCACGTACACTCAGTAAATATTACAATTATTCACAAAATTGGCCTATTGTTTTGAAAAAAATTCTGCAACTACTTTAAAATGAGCACACCTCTATTTCCTTAATCAATCCCTTTAAGTAACAACCATACTAAGCTAAAGTGTGGCAATTTCTTCTGTATGGAGTTACTCTAACTTCAAATAAAAATTCAGGTTAAAATTTCAGGTACAAATAAGAAAAGTAAACTCACATCTGAACCAGAAGCTTTCATCATTGCATTCTGCAAACATTCTTCTTTCTTCCTCTGTCGGAATGTAATCAACCCCTATGACTTTTCGCCAAGGAAAATTGGAAAATGTAAAATTTCAATAATAAAACCAAGACTGAAAAATTAGCTTAGTACAAATTTTAACAAAAGACACCCAGCATTCTTTTTAATTAAGTAATAAATCAACTGACTTGTATACATTTAGCAAACTTTGACTTCAAAAGAAATTTAGTAGCACTACCTGCTAGTCAGAATTGGCTACATAATATTCTTGACTGTGTGCAAAATCAAAATGCAGGACTTTTTACTGAAATTACTAAGAATTTCAAGATGGCACCAGTAGAGCATTAAATCAAGTCTGGGGCCCTGTGTGACTGTTACTCAGGTAATGAAATTTCCTTTACATAGAACATGCTTCTAATTATAAACACTTAATATCACAGTTACCGGGAATTGGTCTTGGAACTTCTGCATTTGGCTCTCGAAAATCAGCCCGCCCATTCATCTTTCCTGTATCAAAAACATTTACACTAGGTATTAGGAACTACCACGACAGTTTGAATACAGATAGCAGTAAAATTACTGGTGTACATGGCAATTAATATTTACTAAACATTATCACATTTGAAGTACTTGACACAAAAATACAAAAAAAATTAAACCCGCTAATTAATTTGGACTGACTATTCAAGTTTCGTCTCTTAGTTAAAAAAATAAGGTGTTTTATTATCAGTATTTATTATTTATCATCACTATCAGTTGATGGATATAAGGTTAAATATTAAAAGATATTAATAAAACTGACATTTTTCCTCTTGAAACTGACATTTCACATTACCCTATGTCCTGGTCCTTTCAAAAATCTGTCGTAAATGATTTGCATGATTCTTCCCAAAAGAAGAAAAATCTATTCTCAATTTTCATTTTAAAAAATAACAATCAGGAAACATGCAACCTCTCCTTTAAAGCAGTATTCAAAAGACAAAAAAAAAAAAAAAAAAAAATCGAACAAAAAAGACATCATACTCTTCTGAGATATAAATTCTATGGCAAACTCTTTATCTTCCAAACTTTCCTCCCTACCCTCAAATAATCTTCAAATTACTTTGTACAAAGACATGAGACTGAAGATGTACGGAACTCTAAAAACACACGTTTTTATTTTTTCATTAACTTTAAAACTCGTATCTTAGGATTTAAGAGACCAGTATCACAGATAACTATTTTAAAGCTCATTATCAGATCATGATTTTCACTTAAAAATTTTTACATGAAAACAGAAAATGGTTTACAGATGACACTGGGCCCTTCCATGACCCACTCAGTAAACAAGCCATCATCGAAGGCTTACCACATGTCCATTTCTTAGGGCAAAGAAATAAGGGATAGTGAACTCATGGATGAATGAAGCCTCCTGAGAAAACTACTTACACGTTAAAACCGCGTTAGACAAATGCATCCCTCTCTCCACCAACAGCATCCCGCCTATAGGCTGACAAGGCCTCTCAGACAACATGTTACGCTCGCCACTCCGAAGGAAACTGAGGGAGCCCTCACCGGCCGACTGCCGCCCCTACACGCTACCCACCACCCCTCAACACCGGCTCCCACCCGCTTGGAGTGAGCGACACCCCGACACACGTTCGTCACCACCAATTCCTCCCACCCCAGAAACAACCTCGCCTCCGCCGTCAGCAGCGCTCAAGAGCGCAAGACCCACAGCGCAGCATCCACCTTCGTGGCAGGAAAATGGCGGAAGGGGCGAAACAGTGGACACCGCGCGAAGGCGGTGGGTGGGTAGGTGGAGGCAGGGGCAAAAAGGGGCTCTTACGCCGTCTCACCCACCTCCCAAATGAAGCGGCGGGCCACGGCGCGTCGGGTCCAAGCGATCGGGGACAGGAGCTGGGAGAAAAACCTAGCGGAGGGTAGAGAAGGAGGAACGCGCGGGACTGCGACAAGGGGGAGGGGACGGACTGCGCACGGCCACCTAGAAGTCACCCAGACACAGGCTCAAAGGGACTGTGACCCGGAAGCACTCACTGCCTGCGGCAGGAAATGACGCCATACCTCTATGCGGCGCTGAATACTAAGCAGGCTAGGCACAGACTCCTGCGGTGCGCCTGCGCCTGCGCCTGTTTGCTCCGCCCTGCGGTCTTCGTCCTGGCCGCGGCGCTCGCGAGCTGCGGTGGGACTGCGCTGGGGGTCGCTGTGCTGCGGAAGCTCGGCTCCGCCCCCTCCGGCGACAGCCGGGGAAGCTTTGTTTTTGTGACGCAGCGCACTGGTCGTCTTCTGACAGGGTGGCGGGAACTTTCGCGGAGGCCCGTTTATCCTCCGTTTCGAAGTTGCCAACTTTTGTTGGATTTCCCTGCTTGTAGCCTTTACGTAGTCATTACGCTAGGCAAGCTTCTGTTTAGGCTAAGCCTGGTAAGTTTTAAGCAGCGGCCTGTGGCTGTCGGACCCTCCAGTCTAGTTTCGGACCTGTTGTAGACCCTCAGGCGGGGTGCATGGCCTCTGTGAACCTCCTAGTGTACTCACCTGAGGAATAGAAATAATGCTGCCTCATAGGGTTGGGCGGGATTAAAACCACCTGAAAGGGGGTTTAAGCCCTCAGCTTCTAGTAAGGCGAGCGTACATTTGCTTGCAGGGCTTCTGACATTATACTGCCACGCTTAGTCAACCACCATTCTAGGTGTGTGTGTGGTGGGGTAGGTGCTAGGGATTGAACCCAGGGCCTTTGGACTGATTTACGTCCCCAGCTGTTTTTGTAATATTTTGAGAGAGAGTCTCACAAAATTGCCCGAGCTGGGCCTAAATTTGGTGATCAAAGTTGCCTACTGCTGTGCTGTGGTCATTCATTCATTTTCTTTCATTCATTCCACAGTGCCTCTTGAGTGCCTGCTCTGAAGAAGGTACTGTGATTTACTGGTGAACAGTCTCAGTGCTAAACTGATTCATCAACTCCTGAACACCTGTCAGATTTCTCATCTCTTTCTGAGCCCCTTTGCCACTGTCCACATTTCTTAATTTTCACTGCCTCTAGAGCTGTTCTAGACTTATTCTGCTGCAGACATATTTAAGACAATCATCTAAAAAATAAATTTAACCTTGTGTTTCCTTTTTTAGAGCTTTTTGCTAGCTCCTAGCATGAACAGAATCATGGCTTGACCTTTTAGTTTTTGTTTTGGTATCAGGACTCAAACTCAGGACCTTGTGCTTGCCAGGCAGGTGCTTGTGCCACTGAGCTATATCCCCAGCACCATGGCTTGACCTTGAACCTTTGAACACCAATAAGAAACACAGCCTACCGGACATGGTGGTATACACCTGAAATTCTAGCACTTGGGAGCCAGAGGCAAGAGGATCACAAATAGAGGCCAGCCTAGGTAATTTAGGCAAGAGAAAGGGAGAAGGAAAGAAGGATTAAAAGACATTCTAGATGAGCTTTATATTAATACAAAATCTGCTTTTTCTTTGGTTTCTGACTAGATTGTGAGATTCCAGAATCCAATTTTATAATATTCTTTGTATTGGTGAGTCAGCTGCATAGCACATTTGTCTTGGTTACTTTTCTCTCATTGCTGAGACAAAATACCTGATACCCAGAATTAAGGAAGCAAAGGCTTATTTAGCTCACAGTTGTGGAGGTTTAGGGCCATACCTGGCTGGCTCCAAGGCAGAGTGGCACACAGCAGAGAGCAACATTTCATGGCAGCAGAAAACAGCAAAAACAACAAGAGTGAAAGGGAGAGGAGCAAAAACAAGCCTCTTTTCCTCCCTTATATTGTATGTGGCTACCCGCCCCAGGGCTGATGTAGCGTTCATACCCATAATCCCAGCATTGGACCATCAATGGATCGCACACTATGGAAGCCGCCCCCATGACTGCATGAGGCTTTGGGGGGACATCCAGACACAAACCATAACAGCGTTATATATTGATGAGTATATTTTCTGTTGCCCACCAAATTCCCAGCAGTTAATAAATTGGCCTGGTTAAGGGATAGGGAGCTCTTTCTATATGAAAAAGTAAAATTCTAAAACACTCAGGGCATCCAGTGGTGGTGAATACATTTAATCCCAGCACCCTGGGAGGCTGAGGCAGAAAGACTCACAAGTTTCAGCCCAGCTTGGGCAATTTAGCAAGATCGTCTTTAAAAAAAATAGGTTTTTTGATATAGTTCAGTGCAAAGGCCCTGGGTTCAATCTCCTGCACAGTAAATAAATTATTCAAGGAATCCTGTTATTTTTTTTCTTTTTTCAAAGTAAAATTATTCTTCAAGGTAAATTGTCATTTTGCATTTGTGCTGACGTTTGAAGATTTTGGGTTCCTTTGATAATTTAGGCAGCTGGGCGTGGTGGCGCACACCTGTAATCCCAGCACTTAGGAGACTGAGGCAGGAGGATTGTTGTGAGTTAGGGTTAGGGTTAGCTCAAGGCCAGCCTGAACTGCATAGCGGGACCCTGTCTCAAAAAGACAAAAAAAAAAAAATAATAATAATTTAGGCAAAGAATTCACACATAAATTGGGTAAGATCGAAAGTCTTCCTGGAAATTGATCATATACGGTAGAGAAAGGCTTCAGGATTTTTAAATACATAATGTACATAATGTTTGTTGTACATAGTGTGTACATTCTTTGTGTGGAGTTGGTATATGTACGTAATGCATCCTAATTCCTTTTAAAATCCCCTTTCCCTTCCTTCCCTCCCATAGACTCTTGATCCCCTCCCCTTTTGTGTGTGTGCATGCGTGCATGTACATGTATGCAGTACATGTTTACATTCCTTGTGTGCAGTTAGTACGTGTATATAACACATCATAATTCGAAAGGTTGCAGGATTAGCCAATTAAGATTCTTCGTGCTCTAACCTTGAATTGTGGGATCACTGGAAATCAGTCTTCCAGGATTAAATTAAATCAATACTTGCAAATACCTCCACTATTAAGAGCCAATGAAATCACCATGTCTGTTCTTTTTTTGTTTGAGACAGTATGTCACTACGTAGTTCAGGCTGACCTTGAATTCACTATGTAGTCCAGGCTGGTCTTAAATTCTTGACGATCCTCCTGCTTCAGCCCCTGAAGTGCTAGGATTATAGGCATGTGTGAAGACATTATTTTTTAGAATTATTATAAAGGATGGGGCTGGGGATTTAGCTCAGCGGCAAAGCGCCTGCCTGGCAAGCGCAAGGTCGTGAGTTCGGTTCCCGGTACCGGAAAAAAACCAAAAACAAAACAAAACAAAAAGAATTATTATAAAGGAATACTTCAGAGTACTCAGTAATTTATATACATTAAACCAAAGTGATAAATTCCTTCTTGATTTCAGTATCAAGGAAGTAATTACCTTTTCAGACAAACTCTTGAACTTTGATAATCAGTTTTTCAACATGTTTCCTTTTGTGTTTCAATACCACAGAAATTGTGACATGTTTACCATAGGCTATCCAGTGTCCAATATATATTTATTATTTAAAATTAAATGTCATAGAAAGCTAGAGAAGAGAATGTTCCTTTTTTTTTTGAAGAACAAGAGATTTAGTTACCAACATGTATCTCCAGAACCATTTGCTACATCAATTTATGAATATGCCAAATTCCAATGCTCACATATGGATGACACGTAAGGATCCGAATGTCTACAGAAACATACACGGAATCATTGCTTCATTTAATATCCCTGCTACTTTAATTAATCATCCTGATTATTAGAAAAATAACCAAGATAATATTTCATATCAATTTTATTTTTTCTTATTGGACCGTGGTTGGTCTTTTTACTTATCTGTAATACTTCTTCTGAATAAATGAGAACATGATCTGTCATGTGTAGTGGTCTTCATGATGCTACACATGGAGTCCATCACAGACGGCAAAAGTCAAGACACAATGCTTCAATCAGCTGGGGTGTACCCATTCTGTCACTAAGAAAGAATCTTTAAATCTGCTCCAGGGTGTCCATTATTTGTACCTGTGTACCTAACAACACAGGCAACTGCAGAGACCTCCATGAATAGGGCTGAGTGTGGCCATTCTTTTTATAGATTTTAATAATAATTTATATATTTATTCTTTTTTTGTTGTTTTTTTCTGGTACCAGGAATCGAACTCACGACCTTGTGCTTGCCAGGTAGGCACTGTGCCGCTGAGCTAAATCCCCAGCCCCTCATATTTCTTTTGTAATTGTATCTTAGGTCTATTTTCAATATAATCAAAATCCTTTAGTAAAAATCATAAGAACATAATGTTTTGTATACTCCTATATCTCCCTAGAGGACCTTTTTCAACAACAGAAGTAAACTAGACTTCTTATGGGGTGGACCTCAGACTTCCACAGCTTAGTCACCATCCAGGACTCATATGCCACCAGTGGTCATCATTGATCGAGAATGTTCCTGTAAGGGGGATATGATGAGTCATATCAAATGCTAATAAGGACAAATAACTAAACATTAAATAAAACAATAAGAAGGTTATTTATAATTTTTGCCAGTGTAGTTTCATGAAAATCTGGATTACAGCAGATTGAGAAAAGAGTGATTGGGAATAATGTAGAGAAAAGTGTAGACTACTCTTTCCAGAAATTTAGCTGCTTGGAGAAAACAGACATATAATGGTAGCTGGAGGGAGAAATTAGGAATCAGTAAAGGTGAATTTTTGTTTTATAATGCTGTATAGAGTTGGTTTAATTACAAATGTAAAAGACAAAACAAGAGCAAGGTTAAAAATAAGGGCAAGAGGGGATAATTAATAATAGCACAAAGCAGATCTCTCAACTGGGGTGCCCAAGAGTATGTTTACAGTGTATGCCACACACTGTTAATTACTCCCTGGGCCCCTGGGTGAACTGTGGGCACAGCCCATGGGCATACACTTTGAGCAGTCTTCTTGGGGTCTTCTGAGGGTATCTAAAAGGGAACAAAGTCTAATGGCCTGCTCTGGTACTCTACAGGTGATAAGAATGCTGGGCAAGTTTCAGCTCTTTCTTCTCCATCCTGGATCTCAGAA